TCTATATATATTTTTAGTTGTCCAGATCATTTCTTTCTATTTTTTAGTAGAGAGGGGGTCTCGCTCTTGCTCAGGCTGGTCTCGAACTCCTGACCTTGAGCGATCCACCCACCTCGGCCTGCCAGAGTGCTAGGATTACAGGCGTGAGCCACCGCGCCTGGCCAGTATTTACTTTCAATAGTCAGGAAATTGTTTCTCATATTATATACATAAATCAAGGAAGTTTTAGAAAATACAAAACATGCAAGAATATAGAAAGCAAAATAAAGATCCATTGTACTAACAAATCCATACATTATTAAAGTTTTGACATATTTCCTTTGTCTTTTCATATGCACAGTTTTGTTTTTTATTGTTTATTCAGCCATCATACTATTTATAGTTTGTATAAAAGTAAATATATTGTAAACACATATGATCATCACTGCATGGTAACAATGTCTTTGTGTCAAACTATATTTTACATCTACAAAATTCAGGGTGATCAAAATTATTTCACATTATTAGTTACTGTAACAAAAGTATATAATCTTTGTTCATTTTCATAGAAAATTCTTATATAATGTTTCTAATTAATCATATATTTAATGAATTATATAACACAGTATATAGAAATGTACACTGCTTTACAACTATATGCATCTCTAATTAATTAACTAAAATACTTTTTTGGATTACTTACCTTTAATCAGTGTTATCTAAAAGTATCCTGAAATAAATCCAACTTACTAATTTTTTTTTAACTGAAAGAAATGTTCTCAAAATTGCTAATATTTTCCCCTAGCACTTTGCTGAAATGTTGGCAGCTTAACATATTCTGGCTTTAGTAATTCATCCTATTTCCTTGATTTGAATTGATCCCAATAAAACAATATTCATTTGGAAAACACTGATTATATTTAATAAAAAGTGAATGGATGTCAAAGAACATTCTGCTCTGTGTAATGAGGCTTTATAGATTAAGTCCAATCATCACTGATACAAAATTAAAAATCCTCTTATGTATTGAATAGCAATTACCTTTCCTCTCAGAACAAAAACCTACTAAACGTAAAATCATAAAGATATCTTTGGCATAAATAATATAAGAATGTGATAGGATTAAAAATAAGAGGAATTTTAAAATGAGATTATTGCCTTCTGGCTGGGCACAGTGGTTCACACCTGTAATCCCAAGGCTTTGGGAGGCTGAGATGGGAGGATCGCTTGATGTTAGGAGTTTGAGACCACCCTGGGCAACTAAGTGGGACCCCCATCTCTACAAAAAAATTTAAAAATAAGCCAGGCGTGGTGACACGCACCTGTAGTCTCAGGTACTTGAGAGGCTAAGGTGGGAGGACCACTTCAGTCCAGGAGTTCAAAGCTGCAGTTGAGCTATGATCGTGTCACTGCACTGCGGCATAGGTCACAGAGTGAGACCCTGTCTCTTTAAAAAAAATGCCTTCTATTATGTTTTGTGACTAAACAACTGATCCAGTGTACGTGGAATGTGTAACACTGTGGTTCACTAAAATTCTATGAATCTGTTTGGTGATAGATTTAGTCTAAGTCCTTTTTTTTTAAGTTTAAAAAACTAAAAAAATCCTAGAATATTTTTCTACAAACTTCTATAAACCTCAATAAATAGATTATGGCATTTTAGAACTACCAGTAAAGAGACGAGTAGATCTGGACATAACTACTTCCCTAAAAAGTCATGGCTACCAATGGAAAATAGGTTTTATGATGTGTACAAAAGAATTTTTTTTTCAGAAACCTTGACTTGTAGTTTTATCTCTGCCTAGTTGAGGCTGTGTGACCTTAAAAAATTCCCTTAATCTTCTGAGCTTTCAAAATAAGCCTCTTATAGAATGAGGATGGTCTTTTCCATTTCTACAATTATAAAATTAGAAGGTAAGACAGGATAGTAAAGCCTGCCTATTCGCAGAGAAAATATTATTTGCTAGAAAAAATTTCCTCTGTACATTATAATGGGACAGAAGGGAGAAAGGGTCAATCAAGAAAGAAAATATCAACTTCAACTAACTCAGCATTTTAACCTTTTTGAAACATTTTCATGCATATGATCTCATTTTAAACTTGCCATAATCCTATGAGGCATAAATATAATTATTATTGTCTCTAGTTGGCAGATAAAGAAATTGAGGGAAAAGGGGACATTATGTTGTTGTTCGGAATCGCAAAACTATTTCATGGATTAATGAGAATATAGGTCTCATCATTCCTTAACCAGGATCCATTTTCAATGGAGCTGATAGGGAAAGGGAATAACAAGCACATGCAGCTAAATACAAGTAAGGAAAAAAGGAAAAACATTTAAGGAAACAGAGGAAATGAGGTCTCCTTGTGGGTTCTTTTTGTTGATAGGTAAGGTTGTGTGCTTGACCCGTAAGATCAAAGGGAGCTGTGGTGATATGTTCAGAAATGTGTATAATTAATTTAAAAACTCAATTTCTACAAAAATTAGAAGTTTCACTCACCTAGTTTTAAGGAACAAACAACAAAAAAAAAAAGAATACCAACCTTGTGAAAATGCATCATATAGTGTGGCATAAACAAAAGGACAAGATTTTTCCCCAAAACTAAGGTATATTTATCCTCTTTGGACTGACTTATATTTAATAATAACATGGTTTTCTTATTCAAATTAGTTTTTAAAAAATATAGGAACCAATGTTTTCCTATATTTTACATGAATATGCAAATACTTTTATATATGTATAAGCTGTAAAATTATTGATGGAATTAATAAACAGGAAAAAGCTTACTTAATTATGAAAAAGACATTATGTCAAAGCTCCTTGTTACTGAAACACAGAAAATCGAGGCCTTAGTGAGTGTTTACCACAAAGTTATATGTAAAGCTATATGAATTAACTAACAAAGGCAATGCTCCAGAGGGTAGTGAGATTTACTTCATTTAGGTTATGGTACTACTTTTTGGTTCAAAGACTGTACTTTTTAAAAAGTGGATACCTGCGGTCCATCTCTGGCTTCATAGAAGTCACCCACTCTTATTTTTGCACTGAAGCTGAAATTGTCCCTTGAGATATCCATTATTCCATTTCTGCTGAGATACTGAAAAAATCACATATTTTTCCACTTCAGGTTTTAATAATTACAACCCAGCTTTGATGTATAGATAGCTTCAGGACACTAAAGTTTTGCATATTCTATCAAGGGGCTATCGATTTATAGAAGATCAATTGGTTTAACTATAATAGTCCCATACAAGAGAATATTTTGTATCAAGGAACTTTATCTGACAAAGGAGTGTACTTTTTTTTTTTTTTTTACATGAGCATGCTTAATAGGCACCAAATGTATGTTATTTGGTGAAAAGTATGTACCTTTATTACTTCAGGGTACTGCCTAAGTTTCTTTCCACATGGAGCATAATATGCTACTTCTCCTTGAAGGCGCCCTCCAAAGTTTCTTATTCTTGTCTCTCTCTGCCAGCTACACATAACAGAAATGAGGGTTATGACATACGTAATTTTAAGAAAACTTTTAAAAATGAAAAAAAACTTTAAGTATACATGCTCTTCAGAAAATATGAAAAAAACAAAGAAGACAAAAATAAACCCCTCATACAACCCAAATATCCTTGCTATTGAAATCATTTAAACTTTTAGTTAATTCAACTAAGAAATTAATCAAAGACTCAATTTACAAATATTAAATTCCATTAAAATTTTTAGATACCATAACTTGTATTACTTGGGGTACCTGGACATTTCAGTAACATGTCAATGTGTACTGATTTTCTTTTTTTTTTTTTTTTAACATCTGAAAAGCTTTAAGCAAGAAAAGTAAACCTGACTCTCTGCTGTCTGGGGCTCACGTACACCCCAAGTCTGAAACCTGTCAGCTATAATTAAGTTATTTTTAGCCAAACTCTGGTACAGTCCCTCAGTTTTGACCAAAGTGGCTTTCACTGTCCTTTAATTCTGTCTTCACAAAAATTTCTGACAGTCTTAACTGCATTCTGTCCTATGTCATGTGATTTGCCCTTGGTTCTTTTCCAGTCATGTTAAACTTGGCTGCATGATCCCACCACAGCTCTGCCATACCTCTATGAAGCAGTTAGGCTTAATTTCAGTTTTCTGATATATCAACTTCTTTGCCCTTTGCTTTAGCTCTTCTGCTCTAATAAATACTATGCAGTATATCCATTTCTTTTATTAATAGTAGAGAATGAGAAATCAAGTATACATCAAACATGCATAAATATACGGAGAAAAGCAAAAAAGAAAAACCTCATTTTGCATACCCATATTCCAATGGAATACGCAGTTCACGTTCATCTGTTACTCTTCTTCTTTTGGAAGTGCCTTTAAGAAAATTCAACCAGTTGATATAAAAGATTAGTTTATATAGATGATAATCTTCTGATAGTTTAGAAACTTTTCCTTAAAAAAGTATATTTCAATGACTTGAATTATTTAGGGTATTTCTGCAATTTGTACATTATTTTTAGATGGTTTTCAACAAAACACTGTGTAAGGCAGAGGAATTTTTTTCTTTTGGTCTGAATGACAGAATAACTAGCCTTCCTCTCTAAAGAAAATACAATCGAAGGTTAAAATATATAGCTTTGTTATTAAGGAAATGGCTAGAGAAGTAGGAGGGAAATAGAGGTTTCATAAAATCTATTTATAGTTGTTGTCTTTGAAAATATTAGTTTTCAGATGCTGAAAAATTTCAACAGCTGGCTCATACATTTAAAGGCAATATAATTTCTATGTCCATATATATGCATAGGCAAAAACACTACTAGATCTTTTAATTAACCTAAAGCACAAAGGAATAGGATTAGATTACATGTAAAATTTTTCAAAGACAAAAATCAAGTTTCATAAATACAGGTAAATTCATCTAAGACAAGTAGGATATACTGGTCTGTGGTAAATGAAAGCAAAATTAGAAATTGCCAAGGATTGAGTAAAACAAGGGAAACAATTGACAAAATATTTTACTAAACATATCTGTATTTTCTTAGCTATTGAATGAGAATAGAAAGCAGTTTGGGAATATTAAATGTGGACACTTTTAATGATGGCCTTGAAAAGTTTATAAAAAGTCAAATAGGAAAAAAGCAGATGTGGCCTGTTAATGGAATTGAGAATACTACTCACTAATAGAAATGACACTGGCTATAATGCTGGGCAGACAGCAATTGCATCTTAAGTAAACAAGTGAGCTTTTTTGTATAAAGTACAGTTGACCTTGAACAACACAAGTTTGAACCGCATGAGCCTACTTAGATTTTTTTCTGCCTCTGCCTCCCCTGAGACAGCAGGACCAACCCGTCTTCTTCCTCGGCCTACTCAAAGTGAAGATGACAAGGATGAAGACCTTTTGATGATCTACTTGCACTTAATGAATGGCAAATATATTTTCTCTTCCACATGATTTTCTTAATATTTTCTTTTCTTAATATTTATAATACAGTATATAATACATATAACATACAAAATATGTGTTAACTGAACTATTTATGTTATCAGTTAGGCTTCCAGTCAACAGTGGACAGCTATTAGTAGTTAAGTGTTTGGAGAGTCAAAAGCTATATGCAGATTTTCAACTATGAGGAGGTCAGTGCTCCTAACCCCCACATTGTTCAAGGGTCAACTGTACAAAAAAGTCCAATTGTCAATCAAATTCTATATTCTAGAGCATAAACTCAACACAAAAGCAGGAAAGATTCAAAATCAAGTGTTGTCATCAGATTCTTAAATTGGAAGCACAGGAAAAAAAAAAAAGACCAGTTAATAGGTCATGTCCTTTGAAAATACATGTTGACCTTTCTGAGCCGACCTAAAATCTAGCTATAATACTTGATTCCAGTGAGATCATCTCCAGAACACTGTATAAGTAAAAATTCTTGCTATGGTTTGACTTCTACTTTACAATAATAAAAATAAAGTGTAGGTACCAGAGTGTGGACTTGAAGTAAGTGTGGAAGAAGATGTACCAAGAAAAACAGGTGACTGTGATTCAGAACATAAGGCAGCAGGAGCAGAGCCTGGGGCTTTTGTTATGTGGAGGTTACGAGGTGTTGAGTGAGCTGTGAGACTCATGGAAGGGCTTTTGACAGAGGAAGTTGTTTTATTCAGTTTCATTGAAGTTTTCTCTCCTTCAGTATCACTATCTGATTCATCTTGGTCTTTATCATCATCATCTTCTTCTTCTGATCCTTCTGTATCTGATTCTGAATTACTATCTGATTCTGGGAAGTAAAAGAAGCATTTGTATATTATAACTAGATAATCACCAATAATTTGCAGTTTGTATCTAAATGGACTGGTTCAGGAACCAGTATCGGTAAATGAGAACTCAAAAGAGCAACTTTCCTGAAGAGTAAATCTTTTAATTTATGTGAGAACAATGTATGTAGGCTACAAATCCTTAAAAAATTTTTTAAAAAGTGTAAGTTTTACTCAACACTTCAGTCACAAAACAGTTCTCATGTGACACTATTCACATGATGAGTTCTGCTTAATGGCTTCAAAATCACTTCTAATGTAACAGAGAAACCAAGGTAAAAGGGGGAATTCAAATTAATGTACTACAGTGGCTTAAGATGTATACTCAGTCTGGCATTACCATCATACTTTCATTTGGGTTTTGGGGTAAAACAATTTTCTAGGGGAGATTCTTGGGTTTTTTGGCTGTAGTTTTCCATTTAGGTGGCAAGATTTCATCAGGCTTCTTAAAAAACTAGCCTTACAGAAATAATTATGGTAGGATAATTTAGTGATTTAATAATTTAAGTTCTAGATATGTAGTCCTATGTATAATGTATCCACTCTTCCAGATATGTAAAATCTATTACTGGATTAAATTTGATAAACACAGGACTAATAACTGGACTATATCCTAATAGTTCCCAGAATAACAGCTTTTGTGGAATTCTGTTTTGTGTGGTATTGTCTGCCTATATTGAAGTTCATCATAAAAATTAGCTCTTGAAAGTTATGAATATTGATATCTATTACCTATCATGCAAAGTTGTTTTTATGGGAACCCCAGGAAAAATTACTATCAGGGCAAATTGTTCTTACTCTGAGCAAGTAGTTTGTTTTTAACTTACAGATACTTTAAATTGTATTAACTGACTATACTTTCCTATTCATATTGGCTGCTAGAAAATGTAGTTAAATTTGTGTCTGACCAGTAACAAATTCACAAACTTTTATAAAATGTATTTTATCTTTGTATTTAAAATTTAAGCTATCTTGTATTTTATGTTTTCAGTCTTCTGTGGAACAAGGAGAGGTAAGGAAAAAGAAAAATGCAAAGAAATACCCCCCCTAAAAAATCCAGAAGTGAATCAAAATTAAACCAGGAAATACTCCATATGTTATTTAATAAATTCTGTGTTACTGATGGACATTCATAGGGATTTAGGTTTTTGGTACTTTCTGAATGACTGTGACTACAATTTTACCTTTGTTCAAAATATCTGGTGATGCAGTTTAACAAACAGCAAGAGAGATGGAAAAAAGGGGACAAACAAGTGGTCCTGAACGAAATGAAAATTAAGCAAGTTGATGAAATTGTCTTAATTTATGCATCATTTATATTCACTCTAAAGTTATTACTTGTTTAATGTCAAATGGATGACAAGCTGAGAATTTAACTTAGAATTTCCCAAATTAATTACTCCTGTATTTTGTGAACTCATTATAGAAATGCACAAAGCTGTGTAAAGCACAGTGAATGACAATGATTATAAATCTGTGAACTAAGAAGTTCTTTAAAATGTTTTGGTTCACATAGCATTTAGAGAAATACTTTAAATTTTAAAATGGAAAATAACCTGATTGACTGTCATCAGATTCATCATCTTCATCATCTTCCTCATCCTCTTCCTCATCATCTTCCTCTTCATCCTCATTTGAATCTTCAGAATCTTTACTACTGGGAATGTCTGAATCTGTTCCTCTAAACTGCTCCACTAAAGATTTTGCAGGATGGGAGTGATGCTGTGTTTTTACTGGATTTACATTATTGCTAACTGCTTTTTCCTTCCCTTGACTATGCAGTATGGGAGAGGCAGAGGGCATTACAGGTGTCTGATTGCCAGGAGTTCTTCTCCCACTTGTACTCAAATTTATAGGTGAGGAAAAAGGGGTGCTGCTTGCAGTAGCAATGTTTTCATTAATCTTACTCTGCATTTTAGTTTTGGTAGTAAGTGCTAGAGGAGCTTCTTGAATGACACTTTGAATAACTCCATTTGGTTGGTGATTACCTAAAAGTGCATTTGTCAAGAATGGATTAGGGTGGTTGTTTTCTACCGTTTGTTTTGGATGTGCTGGTGAAGTAGAGGTTGCTTTTGGATTTGACAAAGCTGCAATAACCTTCTTCAGGCTCTTAGATGACTCCTGTTTCTTTAACTGTGATGGGAATGCCTGTTTATATTGTTCCTGTTGAAACATAAGTTTAAAAACAAAATGTACCATAAAAACAAGACTGCTTTTATTTGCTTTCGATATCTGAGAACAAATTATAGATACGATATCACATACAAATTTAAATCATGACATACAAGTGCCATAAAAGGAGTGGCACTGATGACTAGTTGGTTGTTAAACCTTGGCCATACCTAATATATTTAAAATTTAATTGGTTCCCCCCCTCAAAATATATATGTTTCCTCACTATCTCCCTCTCTTTACTGTTGCTCCCATTCTCATAATAATCAAAACCTGAAACCCTAAAAATATCTTTTATTGTCTTTTTTCCAAGTCAGCCATATTACCATGTCTTTGGATTCTTTCATTATAATACTGCTCAAATTTAAGCCATGACATAATTTCTTCCTACCCAACTCCCAATATATGCTATATACTAATGCCAGTTTTATCTTAGACTAAGATTTATTTTATTATATTGCCTCCTTGGAGCATTGCCAACTTTATAAAGTCTAAACACTTTAATTTGACATTCAAATTACTTTACAATTAAGCACAAACATACTTTTCCAGTCAAACTGGACTATTGGCCATGGGCTATGAATATCATATTTTTATCATCTCCAAATTTTGATATAATCATATTCTTTGCACGAAATAAGCCTCCTCTTTATAAATTTCAAGCTGATGAAATAATGTTCATTCTTTAAGATCTAACCCAAGAAGCTTTCTATGTTTGTCCCAGCCAGAAGCACTCTTTGCCTTAACCTTTGAGCTCCTTTACCTCCTTATACAGATGCTCCTCAACTTGCAGTGGGGTTACTTCCCTATAAACTGATTGTAAATTGAAAATATCATAAGTCAGAAATGTATTCAATACACCTAATCTACCGGACATCACACCTTAGCCTAGCCTACATTAAATGTGCTCAGAACACTTACATCAGCTTACAGTTGAGCAAAATCACCTGGCAATACAGTACACCATAGACTATTTGTTGTTTATCCTTATGACAGCTGGCTGATTAGGAGGTGCAGCTCACTGCCTCTGTCCAGCATAACAAGAGACTATTATAATACTTTCTACTGAATATGTATTGCTTTTGCACCATTGTAAAGTTGAAAGATCTTAAGTTGAACCATCCTAAATTGGGGACTATCTGTATTCTATGCCATACTGCCTTTAGTATACATAGTATATGTCTGTATGTCTTAAACTTCTAAGGAGGTAAGTTTACATCTTTGATAAATTCCTTACGGTAGGAACACTATCATTTATTCACTGTTACAATCTTCCCAAAACATTGCTTAGAGCCCTGCACTTGGTATGTACTCAAAACACAATTTTAGATTGCTGAATAATGACTTCTTGAGCAAGAAGAACTTCTTTCAAGCAAAGATTTAATATATTAAGCTGGTGGGAATGGTGGCTCAACATTCTGCGGGATCTACTTAGAGTACCTTTAGCACATTAACATTTGAAAGAGCAAACAGTTTAGAAAAACAACAATTTTCTTGAGAAAAATTAATTTATGAACAATTAAGCCATAAAATTTACATTTACAAATCAGAAATAAAAATTATTTAGCTTTTAGAATCTCCTTGAAAACAATAAAATCACGAATTTATTAAGTTAGTACAATTATTACACAATATATAAAAAACTAAAATAGAATTATTAAAATATTCTAAGTTAACAAAAGCGGAGTTGAATTTCCTAACCTAAGGCAATATTCTGCGTTGAAAATGTGGATCTGAAATTAAAATCTGCAGTGTTGTCAGCATCACTCCTGGGCCCCTAACACTCAAATCATCAATGATTTGTGGTGGGGATTTCGCAAGTGTGAATGTAAATGTAAATAGAATGCCATATAAAATGACTTATTAATATTTTAAAGCAGCAGTACTAATGAGCAGTAAGCAATTTATATATAAATTTTTAATCTTATTTAACATCTTTACTGTATTAGTTTAGAAAATTAAGTTATTAAGATAATTCTTTGTAAGCAGACTGTCATATAAAATTTGTACCTGAGGCAATACCTCACAAGAGAAAGTGCTTAATTAGTATTTATTCAGTGACTAAATTATGGAAAATTATACCAAATAGTTGGATTTACCTTTTAAGAGGAATTTGATAACAAAATTCTTACATAAAATACTTTAACATATATAAGATTGAAATTTTCTTTACAAAAAACAGTGTATTTTCATCTGTTAGAACATAATTATGTCACGTAATCATTTTATACTATTTTCTTATAGGTAGTCAATTTTCCCTCTAAATACATAGGACCAAAGGGCCAGGAAAACAGCTTTATATTTAATTTTCTGCAACTGCTCCTCACTAATTCTGAAGAATCTCTTCCCATATATTGACACCTATACAGATTTTCAAGAATAGCCAGAGATTATTATATTTTATCCCAAGACTAGTATCAATTACTCTTTTATAGATATCAGGGGTGATTTATAGAAAGGAGAAGGGAAGAAAATTGAGACCTGTACAGGAGCAAACCTCTCATTCCTTTAACATATCCATTTGGACTACAGGTAGTATGGGAAGAGATAGGTTCAAAGGTCTGTCCTCCCTCTAAGCTCTTGTTCCCCTAGCTTCTACCTGAGACCACTGTAGAGAGAAAAAAAAATTCCTCCAGATAAAACTTCATAAGAGAAAACTGACGTAAGACCTACCAAATTCTATTCCTGGTCTATATATCCAACTATTGTATAATGATTTAAATTATACATCTTTAATGTAAGGGTACTGAAAGATTCAATAATTAAATAATATTCAAGAAAATCATAAACTGATGAGGGATGCAGACACATACACAGCAGGTAGCATGAAACAAAAGAGATTATCGTGAGAAATAAAGCAAAATTCTGTATGTCAGACTGTCATATAGACAGCTGTTGTAAGAGAAATTTACAAAATATTCTTTATTCAATAATAGATACTAATAAAGACATCATTTAGAATTGAGTCTAATGTGAATGTCCACTCACATAAAATATTTTCCATTAACTACCATTATCATTTCAGATAATTTGTATTATAATTTCTGAATGATCTCCAGTTAGCAAGAACACCAAAATTTTTCACTGTAGTCATGTTTTGAAATCAGAATGCTTGGTTTAAATCCCTTCTGAACTTAACCTGTCGTATGATGTTGGCAAGTTACTTAACTTCAAAGCTTTAGTTTCTTTACTTCACAAGGTTTGTAAGGATTAAATGAGATCATATGTGTAAAAATCCTGGCTTGGCTACATTTATTAAGCAAGTGTCTGATATATGACTCTCTAATAAGTAGTCATATAAAATTCTTCTTCAGGGAAACATTAAAAAAACCGTTTGAAAAAAATTAAGAAACTTTTGGAATACAAATAACTCTTGATGTAGCTCTATAAACTCATTTATCTTAAAGCAGGATAATATATTAATGAAAAATTAAAATAACCCAAATAATGTAATTTTTAATTTGCTTATTTTACTTGCGAAAAGTCAATAATGTGATGCTGATAATATTTAATACCTGCTTGTGTTTGAGCAGTGCATTACAAGTCATATGCATAATATGATACCATCGGTCACTCCACTCAGACCAGTGCTTTTCAAATCTGACTACACATTTGAATCACCTGGAAGCTTAAAAAATTCCAATACCTTAGTTCTACCACAAGATGTTCTGATTTAATGGTTCTAAAGGGTATTGTGCTTAAAGTTTCCCAGGTGATTCTAATGTACACATAAGGCTTAAAACCACACATTTAGAGTCTCAAAAAAAGGTGGATTTGTTCAAGTTACTTTTCTTCGATCCCATTCTTAAATTCTTCATAGTAAGAGTCAATGGACAAGGATATCGTGACTTTTTCAAGAAAGAAAGGCAGAATATCATAGTTGTTAAGAATAAAGATTCTAGTACTACATTGCCTAGGTTTGAATTCTAGCTCCATTACTAACCAGCACTGTGATCTTGGAAGAGTTATTTAAATTCTACAAATCTCAATTTTATCATCTGTAAATGGGGATAATATTAGCTGCACTCATAGATGTTATAATCCAATGAATAAATCCATGTTCAGCAATGAAAACAATGACTGGTAAACAGTAAGTGCTCTATAAGTGTTACCAAATGATTAGGATGCCTGATGATAATGTTTGTTACCAAGAGACAGGATACCATGTTCAAACATAATATTTTAATACTCTAGGATGATTATAGAATAAAAAGCAATGGTAATTTAATCATTAGAATTCTACTGACATATGAATGTAGACTATGTAGTGACATAAAATAATAGCAAGAAAAACAAAGATGAAAAAATTCTTTGAAGAGTGGTTCCGGTGTTTTTGTAAGTAAAAGTTACACTTCATAAAATTCATTAAGAATGGCACAGGAAAATGATTTTTTTTTTTTTTTTTGAGATGGGGTCTTGCTCTGTTGCTAGGGCTAGAGTGCACTAGGGTCATCATAGCTCACTGCAACCTCAAACTCTTGGGCTCAAGGGATTCTCCTGCCTCAGCCTCCCAAGTAGCTGGGACTACAGGCATGCGCCACCACACCTGGCTAATTTTTTAATTTTTTTGTGGAGATGGTGTCTTGTTCTTGCTCAGGCTGGTCTCAAATTCCTGGCCTAAAGCAATCCTCCTTTCTTGGCCTCCCAGAGGGCTAGGATTATAGATGTAGCCAACTTTGCCTGGCCGGAAAATGATTCTTTTTAAAAGATTTTTATACTTAAAATTTATAAATTCTAGGACTATAATGATAAATTATTCAAAAGTTCACTTCTTTTCAAAAAGAACATGCAGATATTAAGGGGAAACAGAAATTAATTTTAAGGCAAAGTAATTGTGAAGCTTGTCTTATTCAAACATATTTATCCCCCTATTGCTAAACCATTAGACCTTGGGGCACATAGAATGGGATGGGGTTGGGGGGAATGACAAGATTGTGTTGCAAAAAATATGTTAAACAGATGTATATGTGAATATAAAATCAGAGAAATTTAGTTTTATGATGTAATATTCTATTCCTGGAGATGAAGAAAGTATAAAAGAATAAAATTTAATTTAAGCTTGTGTATTATGAGACAATATAGAAGCTCCATTTATTTCTAATAATAAAATTCTTATATAAATAATTTTTAACTCACCCGTTTAGCTCGTAATTCACTGGTCAAAGGACTAGATTCTTCAGAGGTATTTTTATTCCCTGCTTTAAGTACATCAGAAGAAGGAACTGTGAGTTTCATGTAAGTTTCCTTTTTGGCTTGATTTACCAAAGATAAAGGTTTCACATTGGACACCAATCCCGTAGACTGTATTACACTGGTGTGTTTGTTCACAGATTCCTCCTTTGCCTGAGAGCTTTGGAAAATAAATGGAAGCTGCTGTGACAAAACCTGAGGCTGCTTCTGCTGGGATTGGAATGATGAGTGAGTCTGGGATTCAGACACAAGAGGTAATGGCTGGTGTATTCTTTTTTCCTGGGCTTTTTCAGTTGCTTTCTGTCCATCTGCTTTTGGGTCTGAAATACCATGTAATAGCACCTGGAAATAAAAATTAAAAGGCAGCTTCTTAACATCTATTAAGACAAAGAACATCAAACAGTAAAAAAAGAGTCGTTTAAAAAGTGTTCCTAATGACTTATGATAGTTCTAAGAAGCTCACTAAAAATATACCAAATGTCCCTTTAAAAATATTTTTCCATCTCCTATTTTTTCTTGTGCAAAAGAAAGAACTCAAGATAATGATTAACTTTAAAACTATAGACTTTGGGAGTTAAGATAAACCAGTTAATTCCAAAATATGAATGATGTTTGAATACTGTCCATGAAACAATTTATACCTGGTTGTTACTTTTATGTTGTGCTTCACTCTCTGAATCAGAATCATCTTCACTTTCTTCAATGCTTTGATCTTCTTCCTCTTCATCTTCCTCTAGATCATCTGAATCACTACTACTAATGCCTTCACTTGAGGTGTCTGACGATGTGCCTGAATCACTATCACTGTTGCTAGAACTTTCCATAGCTTTTTTCCTTGGTTTCTGAATGAAGACAAAGTATTTGGAAAGACTTTAATTTTTAAAAAATTCAAGTTTCAGTAAAAGGTATGCTTTTTTAATTTTCAAGTGATATTTTCAATCTCAAAATGTCATTATAGGCAAAAGGAAAAATGTCACATATTATAAAGCATAATTATTGAACCAACTGATCAAATTAACTTATCTGACAGGAATTTCCCAGTAAAAAGTATGAGCTCAGTCACATGTAGAATATTGAAAATATCAACATATTATGTAGGTGGATGTACTCATATGGCCATCATGCTTCAAAATGTATGACAGATTAAAAAAAGAAGTTCACAAAATAATAATTACAATTATGATATATATGTTGAGTTATACGTTTATCTTTAGTCTTCTTTCTTTATGCAGTGAGTCAGTAGCCAAATATTTACCTATAATGTGTCAAACATACCTCTCTAGGTGCTGGACTACATGGTGTGCAAGATAGAGTTCCTGCCTTCAAGAAACTTACATTCTAGTGGTTGGGAGGGAAAGGGTGGATAGATGCTTAATATAAAAGCAAACAATTCTGTATAATAATAAATGCAGTAGAGAAGATATAATAGGTAGCAAAAGACTATGGGGATGCTTTAGTTAGAATCAAGGAATTTAATTATTTTTCATAACAGAAAAGACAGAAAAATATGACAAAGGAGAGAGATTTTTGGAATATTTAAGACTTTATAAGAAAAAGAAAATCCAAAGCTGGTAGAAAGGGATATTAGGTCTCGTAAAAGGGAAGTTTTGTGTTTCAAGAATAGACAGTAGTACTGAATGAAAAGAAGAAAAATCATGAGATGAATTATAACTATATAACTATATAATAATGGAAAAGTTAAAACTCCAGCAATAGAAAGACTAAAAAGGAGAAATGTTAAAATGACAGAACAACACAATTAAGTATAATCTATAATTACTTAGGAGTATTTCAATAGCATTTGCTGATAAATAAAATACAAGGGCAAAACAAAGAAAAAGCAGTAATAAATTTAAAAAGTTTTGGTCTTAACAGAAATATAGCCTTTCATGACTCGTGGGGTTTGGGGAATGAAAGACAGTAATATACAGGAAATCAAATTGAAGCCATAGTTACAGTGTGTAGATCTATACTCTTTCTTTTGTGTCTTCTGAAGATTGATTTAAATAAAATAAAATGCATGAGTGAGGAGAGTCACTCCTGCTGGTGTATTCTGCTTGCAATGACTCTGTTTTAACTGTTCCTAGCTACCATAATGCCTCTTTCACAGATACACATTTCAACAAGTGGTCTAATAGTTACCATCATTCCCTGAGCTATCTTCTTTCCTCCAGGTAGAGCAGAGAAGGATGAGAAACTGAGTTGGAATAGTGTGGGAATCATACCATGATAAAGACCATAAGGTAGACATTAAAAGAAAACAATAATAATAATATATTAAGACTAGCATTTATTTATCAGAGAAACAGCTCCTTCTTTGCAACCATAATCTGTCATGGGTTTTTTTTTCTTTTTTTTTTTTTTTTTGAGACAGAGTCTCGCTCTTTTGCCCGGGCTAGAGTGAGTGCCGTGGCGTCAGCCTAGCTCACAGCAACCTCAAACTCCTGGGCTCAAGCAATCCTTCTGCCTCAGCCTCCCAAGTAGCTGGGACTACAGGCATGCGCCACCATGCCTGGCTAATTTTTTCTATATTTTTAGTTGTCCGATTAATTTCTTTCTATTTTTAGTAGAGACGGGGTCTTGCTCTTGCTCAGGCTGGTCTCGAACTCCTGAGCTCAAACAATCCGCCCGCCTCGGCCTCCCAGAGAGCTAGGATTACAGGCGTGAGCCACCGCGCCCAGCCTGTCATGGGTTTTTAAGCATGTACAGCAAGACTATGAAAATCATAATCTAAACTGAAGTTATTTTTGTTTAAGTAGAGGCTAAGAAAGGAAAAGAATAAGGGGGCTACAGTGATTTCACAGAGAAAAATAAACTCCTATTTTAATGCCCAAGTAATCTGTGTGTATTTTTAGATTTAAAGATGGCATGAGAAACCCGTATCTCCCCCAAAATGGGTCTAGAGGTGCTTGTTCTAAACTTTTAGAGTGCAAGTTTTTTCTTGCAAAACTTGTCGAGACCAGCAGATTCCTGGGTCCCGCTTCTAAACAAGGCATATGGATCAGCATTAACAAACATTTAATGTGATTCTGATGTAGGTGGTACAAATTTAGTACCCATTAAAAAAGGTGCAAGTGAGGAGACAAGTATTAGAGAAAAAGGGAAAAGATGGGTTTGTATATCACCAGTTTCATTTCCTTATTAGAATATGTGTGTGTATGTGTTTGTGTTATATTCACACATAATTAGGTAGTAAGTCACTTTTCTCTCATTTAAAACATTTTAAAAATGAATCTTCTTAGGTTCATCAAAAAATGATCAAAGAAGAGCTTATTAATATCCCCTCATCCAATCTGGGAAAGCTTTTCAGAACCCTCTTCTTGAACTATCATTTCACTGTATACTTATTTATTTCAATAACAAAACAAATACATATTCAAGGCTATTATGTATGTACCAGGCATAGTTGCTCAAGCTTCTCGGGATATAAGGGTGTGAGAAACAGACACCAACTCTGCCTAGTGAGAACAGGGAGAAGAGAATCAACAAACAATCTAAATAAATGTTTTGAGTGATAAATACCATGAATAAAACAAAATAACAGATAGACAATGTATGCTGGGGGGTGGTGCAGGTGGGGTGAGCTTTTAGATGCAGTCTCAGATAAGACCTTTCTGAGCTGAGACCTAAGGGAGAAGAGTCAGTCATACAAAGACATGAGAGAAGAGCCTTTCAAGACAGGGGGAACAGCAAAGGAAAAACCTGATAATGTGTGTGGCATGTTCAAAAACGAAAAAGTCAGCTAGACTAGTTAGATAGAGCATACTGAACCAGGGAAAGATTGGTAGGAGAAAAGGATGGATGGACTCCTAGGGGCAGATCATACAGCTATAATAAGCCACGGCAAGGATTTTATTTTGAGTGGGATAGGACATTCCTGGAGGGAGTGATAACATTATGATATATATTTTCCCCCATTTTTTTTATTGTGGTAAAATACATATAACATAAAATTTACCATATTAACCATTTTAAGTGTATAGTTCAGTGGTATTAAATACAATCACAATGTTGTGCGACCATCAACACCACCCATCTCCAGAACTCTTTCATCTTGTAAAACTGAAACTCTATACCTGTTAAACACTAACTCCCCATCTTTCCCTCCCCTAGCTCCTGGCAACCACCATTCTACTTCCTGTCTATGATTTTGACTACTTTAAGTACCTCAAGTAAGTGAGATCGTACAGTACAGTATTTGTCTTTTTGTATCTGGCTTATTTCACTTTGCAGAATTTCATCCTCACAGTTCATCCATATTATGGCAAATATAAGAATTTCCTTCCTTTTTCTAGCTGGATAATATTCCATTATTATGTATATACCACATTCTGCTTAAGCAGTCCTCTGTCAATGGACACGTGCGTTACATCTACATTTTCGCTATTGGGAACAACGTGCTATGAACATGGGGGTACAGATACCTCATGGAGACCCTGCTTTCAATTCTTTTGGGTATATAACCACAAGTGGAATTGCTGGATCATACAGTAATTCAATTTTTAATTTTTTGAAGAACTGTCATACTGTTTTCTACAGTGGCTGTATCATTTTATATTCCCTAACATATTTTCAAATCATAAAAAATTATATATGTTTTTGAAAGACTTTTTCGGCTGCTGTGGGAACAATAACTTGTACAGTAGTAGGAAGAAAACTCATTCAACTTTAAATTGTTTAATTTTTTCTACACAGGCTGTACATTTGTATATTTTACTTGAAACTTACTTTAATTAATTTGAACTATCAATATTTATTCTAAATATATATGAAGACTGTAAGAGGGAATTGGACTTAATCAGCGACTTTCAATGAGAACAGCTGAGATAAGTACCCCAACTCCCTCAACAGGAATTTTTAAATTAGCTGAAGAACATTTTCTCAAATTACACAGACAAAGAGCTAATGAAACAATTTTTAAAAAGCTTTTAAAACTGAAAAATGCTAGGTAAAAAAGTACAGGACTTTCTTCTTTAGTTCCATTGCCCTTTTATATACATTTTACTTGAACAACCCACTACTACAATATCATGCCAGACCATGAATTATCCAAAAGAGCTGTTCTTCTGAAATCTTAAATCCTAGTATGCCTCACTTTAATAGCCAATCTCTCTATAGTGTTATCTCCACTTAGCTATCTACAAACACTAGTAATGATACCTCAGAATCTCTCTCTTTATATTATTAAAGAGGTGCCTTTGTCATTTTTTAGTATGTGCTCCTGGTAATAGTTTTTGGTGTAACAGCACTGATTTTGTTTAGAAATTTCAATGTAGATTCTGCATTAGAACTAAGTATAGGGACTGCTTCATAGTCATGCCTCCAAAGTCTTGCACAATGCTTATACACCATGGAGGCACAGGATATTTTAGATTTTAGATTTTACTAGATTTTAGAACTAGTTAAAATCATGTGCCCTTAACTTTTAGAAATACACCTATAAAAATATACCCAATAATATGATATCCAGAATTTACTTCAAAATAGTATGAGAATCAAGAATGGGTGGTGTTTCAGTGTCTGGCATGTGGAGAAGCTGGCAGCAGCTCAGAGATAGGCCCTTGTTGCTTGCACTAATGGGAATGCCCTTGAAACAATCATAAGGGAGAAGAGCTAAGAGCAGTTAAAGAGCAACAGGTAGAGAGTATGACCCTGAAACCTGTGTCCCTGGGAGGAAACAACCAAGAGTTTTATTTTTAAATCATGTTTACTCAAATGCTTAGTGGTGTGGCTTGAAGGCAAAAGAAATGTTTGTCTTAGGGCCTAAGTATACTACTTTTGCATTTCTGTGATAGGTACCATCAAGCTTCTTAGCATCATCAGATGACCTTTGCCAAATCTCTCATAGAAGTGTGCTAATCTCTGGAAAATATATTCCGTTGAGAAGGAAACTAAAAGATCTAAATGAAATATCTCTATGAAATATGCTCAGCAAAAGGAAAGACACTTTTGGCCAGGCGCGGTGGCTCCTGTAATCCTAGCTCTCTGGGAGGCCGAGGCGGGCACATTGTTTGAGCTCAGGAGTTCGAAACCAGCCTGAGCAAGAGCGAGACCCCCGTCTCTACTAAAAATAGAAAGAAATTAATCGGAGAACTAAAAATATATAGAAAAAATTAGCCGGGCATGGTGGCGCATGCCTGTAGTCCCAGCTAC